CCTAATATGATAATAGTTATATGAAGAAATAATGCAATAATCAATTTTAAAGATAACAACAACATATGGATTCTAATTTCATGGTATAATAAAATAGTTAAGCTTTGATTTAATGTAAATTATTGTTTTATTAAGTAGAATTAATGAGTTTATCTTAATAATAGCAATCACAGTAACAATAACCATAAGGATAATAATTCTAGAATAATTTTTAGAATTATTTTGGATAAAATAAGGGAAATGAAAATTTTAGAGGATTTCCATATTTATGAACTATTTGATTATTATATTAAATTATTATATATAAAGATTTTAAAGATTCTCATTTAAATTAAAAAATATTAAAATTAATCATATAGTAAATTAACAGAAAAGTTTTTTCTTTTTATAATTCAATCATGATTTCAACAATGTTTTCATGTAGAACATGGAATTATTATTTGATTTGAAATATATAACACTAAAATTATGTATTCTATTTAAGAGCATATGTACATTTTTAAAACGGATAGCTAAATTAATATAGATAATGAAACCAATTGTCGTTTTTGAGTTAATAATTTATATATAAATATTTATTAAATGACTCAAATAGCTCCACTTTAGAATATAATCATAGATGATAATAATTCAACTTAAAGACATTCAGATGGATTAGGAATTGCTAAAAAAATTAAAAAGAAGGAGAAGGGATGCTTTTGTAGAAAATAAAAACAGAAAAAAATATATAAATATATTTCACCAGATGAATCCTCCTATGAATGTGATGGATGGGAAGAGGAAGATTAATTTAATCGATAATCTGACTATCGACAATAAAACAAAGAAATAACAGATCTTAAATGTGTAGCTTGGAACCTTGAACTCATTATTAAAAATGCAAAATAATAACTTGCATATTTGGAAGGAACTATGCAATCAAATCATGCAAGAAATTGATTTTCACTTTTTTCTTTATTTAAATTTATCTACATACTCCTTTAAAATGGCTTAAATTTCATCATTATCTCTTTTTATCCCTCTTTAATTCAATTTTATTCTTTGCGGCAAAATCTATTAAAATGCTTATATTCCATGACATATTAAATCATAAGTCATAGAGTAACAATTCAACAGGAATGTAATAATATTTATATAGCTTAAATATGCACGTGGAAATTTAAATTCTTATTTTCCTATGAGAATTTTCGCATTTTCTCATAATCAAGAAATCTCTTAAGTAATTTCAACAAATAAGTATGAAGAACTTATTTTGTAGACCGATATTAAGAACAATCCTTTCAAATCAAAGGTTATTATTAAATTTTACTTCTTGCGGATAAACGTATTTCATATAAAACAGTATTCAAAAAATTACTTTTTAACTGTAATACATAACACAAATATGATTTTATTATATTTATATATATCAATAAGTTAATGTCATAATAAGTTGAATTGTTTGAAAAATTGACATACAATTTGTATGTTTAAAAATATATTTTTATCTGCTAATATTAATTATGTATATAATATATATCACTTAATGATGTAATATGAATAAATATTGTTAAAAAAAAATAAAATAAAAATGATAAATTAAACAAAAACATAACTTTTTGAAGTATTTAAAAAATTTGATAAAGATGGCAATGGTTATGTAGAATCTAATGAATTGATTGAAATTAGTAGATAAATGAATGAAGAAATTACTCAGGATGATGTTGATAGAGTATATATGAATATTAAATTTATTAGTTAATGAAAGTAGTTGATTAAAATGGAGATGGTAAAATATCATTTGAAGAATTTTGGGATTGGTGGTAATTTGGAAAGAATGATAAATTAGAAAAATTAGTTTTTATGAAATTGAAATTAATGAATATGCTAAAATCTATTAATTCTGAATTTACAAGATATGGTGTATCACTTGAATAGAAATATGATTCTAAATTAGATCATCATTATTGGGCAATTAATTATGGAGATTTCTAATCTCATTTTAAATTTGATATCAAATTCAGATATAAAGGATCAGGAGTTTAAGAAGATATTTAATAAGAAGTTGGTTTTCAATAATCAGAATCATTATAAATTGTCTTTATTTTCAGATCAATGAAACCACCTTTAGCAAGAGAAAAACTGGAATAATTGTGGAATGAATATAAATAAAAATTACAAGAAAAGTAAGATTAATTTCTACTACCAATAATAGAAAATTCATTAAATATATAATTTTAAGATAGGAAAGATTCAGTTGCTATAGCAATTAATGTTAGTCATCCATTAATTGATATGACATTTCAATCAGGATATTTACCATATTGTGAAAAATTAGGTTAAGATGTTGAAATATTTTCAAAATATCTATTTGGAATTAAGAATGGAATTACTAAATTAATGAAAAAGGACTAAATATTTATTAAATTTTTATTAGAAGGATTTATTATGGAATTTAAATCTCATTTTAATAGTGATTTAAGCAAAAAATTAGCTGGTGTTATTTTAGCTAGTCTTGGATAATAATTTGCTCAAAAAATTGCTCAATAAAAAGGAAGGAAATTGTAAAAAGAATTTTTATGGCCTATGTTATTTAAGAGTTCCAAATTTCATTTATAGTTTAAAAATATGGAAGATGTAAATAAATTCTTGAAAGCTATGGGATTAGAAGAATTAGCTGAGGATCAACCAACAGCAAGATAATTAATAGATGAAATTAAAGCAGATTATCAATTTTAATCAATTAAAAATCCATAATCAGATTTGCATTTTATTTACAGAGTATTTCTATTTTATAAAGATAGTTATTTTTAATTTTAGCAGAACATTTTATAGCTTAAGGAACTATTAATATAAATATTCCATTTGCTTATTTAAATATTGCATTTAATTTGGAAGGTTTAAAAGAAGTATTTGATGCAGTATTTGATCATGATAAGTAAAAGTAATAGAAGGCACATTGATTTTATTAGTTTCTTAAAATAATAAAATAATATTCATTTAAACATATTTTACTTTTTTATTATAATGAATAATGAATTTCCTTAACATACAAGATTATATGAAGCATAGATATAATTATGAATACTAAGAGATTCTATTTAAACTAAAAAAAATAATTATTATTTGTAAATAACTATTAAATAAAACAACATTTTTAGAATAAAGGAATATTTTAATTGCATATTTTGTATTTTGTTTTTTTTGATATTTTGAATTTAATAAATCAATGTTTTTCTGGTGTATCATCCAAATCTATATTGATATAGATGAGTTTTTACCTGTTGGGAATGATTCATTCATATTCCACCATGATTCAGCATATGGATAATCTCTGAAATAGGGTAAGTGTGGATCAAATTTACCATCATGAACTGGTCTTTATTTATAAAAGCCTAGAGGATCAAATTTCAATTCTTCATCAGTATAAACAATATATCTGGTTGAAGTGCTTGAATATGGTCTACATTCATCGACATATAAAAATGCATCATAGTTAGTCTCTAACCAATTGACCCATTTATTTTCTAATAGTTAAAATTCTACTTTCTATTCTTGATTTAAATCTAATTAGTTTTAGAAATGTAATTTACTTGCATAATTATTATTCAATTCCTATAATCTATTAAAATCTTTTTGGGCTAATTGCATTTCGTTATAGAATCTAATATGATCACCTTTAAAATTCTCTAATTATGATGTGTAATGTCTTCTGATTGTTGCTCTAAGAATATAATTAGTTTAACCTATATAATCTGGTAATTCTTTGAGTTTAAGAAAGAGTATCAGGATGCTTTACTCCATAAGCAAGCAAGTTAACCATCTCAGACCACTTAAAATTCTTCACAGCTAAATAAGCTTTGCTCATTAAAATCTTTATATTAAATATATTATTTTAATGCAGCCATCTTTTACTATTAACCCATCTTGTTTTAGGTTGTTTGTACGACCTAAACCAAATGCATAAGGCAAACAGTCTCTAAATCCAGATTCAGATAACGAACACAAAGTAAACATAGTATTTAATTCAAAGTAACACGATGATCAATTTCTTCCAAATATTTAGAATTAATAACTTATGAAAAATAGATCAATAACGATATGTTCTAATACATCAACATTGCCTGAGACTTTATCTACTTCCTTTCATAATTAGGAACTCAATTAATCTGGTTTAGAATAAAATAAAGAAGATATATTTTATAAAACTATGCCTACTTCATTTTAGTAATTTCAGTTCAAAAATAAGAGAAGATATGAACCATAAGCTCAAATAACCCAATATCAAATTAAATTAGATTCGGTATTAATATAAACTCTAAATAGATTCCTGGAGATGACAGAACTACCTTAATGATAAGGAACATTCCAAATAAATATACATAGCCTATGTTATTGGAGAATTTTGACATCAATCATAAAGACAATTATGATTTTTTTTATCTCCCTATTGATTTTACTGTAATATTTTAGATATCATAGAATAAATGTAATGTAGGGTATGCCTTTATTAATTTTTTGGATTCAAAATTCATTCCTAAATTTTTTTTAGAGTTTCATGGACGAAAATGGAAACTCTTCAATTCAGACAAAGTAAAAAATGTGAATTAATTAAGATATGTGAAATTACTTATGCAAGGATCTAGGGTGTAGAGTAATTGTAAGGACACTTTCAATATTCTACCATCATGTAAGAGAAGGTAATGAATTTCATATGATTGTAGGATAAGAAACTTAAACCAATTTTTAAGAAATATCAATCAGATTAATAATTTAAAAGAAAATGATATTGATTTTAAGTAGATAATACTATCTTCATATATATAATCTTTTTATAAATTATTTTATAATCCAAATTAATTATATACATATGTTTCTAACCATTTTATACTATTTTATAATAGCCGCCAAAAACTAAATTCAAATAATGTGGTAATATATGCAAATATACTAAGTCTCTAATTATAAAATTGGAGTATTTAACTTAAGAACTACAGGATTTAGATTAATAAATAAATAAAATGAAGGCTTTTCTTCTTATAACAATAAGCTATGTAGTATAATGTTGGTGGGATGTTGGTCATATGATGACTGCATAAATAGCAAAGAATTACTTAAAAGACAATCGTCCAGATGTGTTAGCTTGGGCTGATTCATTAGTCTAAGATTTGAACCCACTCACTGATGGAAAATCTAACACATTTGCAGAGGCTGCAGTTTGGATGGATGACATAAAGGAAACAGGAACATCCTTTATGAATGATTGGCATTATACTGATAGACCAATAAACCCAGATGGTTTATTAATAAAGTTAGAGGATCAAAACAGAAATATTAATTCTATTTATGCAATTAACTAAGCTGTTTCAGTGTTGACTAACACTAAAACAGCTAAGAATAGACATACAATGTTCAAAGCTTAGATGTTAAGAGTACTTCTACATGTCATTGGAGACTTGCATCAACCCTTACATGATACTACATTTTGGAATTCAAGTTATCCAAATGGAGATTAAGGTGGAAATTTCATGAAAGTGCAGGTAAAATTGAAAAAGATATTTTTAGTTGGAGAATGGAACTTTAGTAAATTTACATTCTTTTTGGGATGCAGGTGCATTTGCTTTTAGTCCCAATAACTCTTTTTTAGTAAGACCATTGAGTTAAAATGATTTAGAATATTTAAATAATTGGTCTTTGGATGTAATTAATAAGTACTAATTTACGAAATACAATAATATGGATATGACGTATTAATATAAATTAATATTTAAATAGTAATCCAACTGTTTGGACTTATGTCGGATATAGATAAGCAGTTTAATTTGTATATCCAATGATTGCTTAATCAAATAGCTATAACAAAGACTATGTCTAATAAGCATAATAATTTTGTGAAGAGAATTTAGCTATAGGAGGATATCGTTTGGCATAAAAGTTAATAGATATATTTGATTAAATTCTCCTAAATGAAGCCAGATTAAAATTGGAAGATTGATTTTTTTAAATACTATTTTTATCTCATTCTATTTAATATCAAAATATATTTCAAATCATTCTTGTTATCTAATTTATAATTATTTAGTATTGTTATTCCATAATGCAATATATTCTCCATTGTCAGTCAAACTACCACCTTTATAAGTATCTATAATTTTCTATGAATTCCATATCTTCCTGTTGTTTACTGAAATAAAATATAAATAGAATCTAGATGTCTACAGAAAATGGATTATAATTATTAATTATAGAACATGTGGAAGAAATAAAAATAACTCATTTTTGATTTGCTAAGTTCTAATTCTTGAATCTATTTGAATGATTCAACTGATTCCATATATTGATAAAGTATAAGTATTCCATTATTTAATTTTGTAGCAATCAATTTATCATTAATTACACATACTGAATGTACCCAATTTTTATAATAATTCTATATCACTTATTTGAGTTTGCATTATTATTAGTCATCCTTATCATAAATAATAATAGTTTTATCATAAGAACCAGATACCAGCTTAATTTAAACTCAAAGAATAAACATTCTTTTTATGATCTTATAGAGTTTAATAGCATTTCCATTTAGGTTGTTAAGATGAAAGTAAAGATTCTTACATCCAAACTTTTATTTTATGATCATCTCTACTAGTCTAATCTTCATATTAGTTCATGATAACACTATTGAAACAAAAACTATTACCTTCTAAAATCTACATACATCCACATTCACTATTACTAAACTCTTTCCATAATCTAATTGTCTTATCTCGACTTCCAGATATAAACCAATTATTCTTACGAATAAAATAGAGACATGTAACTACTTTGTCATGACCTTTTAATGTTTGGAATAATTCTAATTTACCATTGTAAAAATTCCAAACTTTAATTAGTTCTTCTGATGTACTTATCTTTATTAAATGCTGTGGCTTAACATATTTCTTTTTAGGCAGCTTTCCCTACTAATTCTTCATTTATAATAAGATTAGTAGTTAATGATTCTTTTAGTGTTTCCATATTACTTTAAATAGACTTAATATTTTTTGATAATTTGATAGAGTTGTCTATAATTGTTACTCCTTTTTCATTTGAACTACAGAATAACCAGCTCTAATTAATGAAAACTCATTTCCTTATTAACTTAATTGTAATCCTATATTCTACAATCAACTTATAGTCAAATATTCATTAATATTTAATTACCATTGTACTGATTATGCTTATTGAATAACACCGACAATTTTTTCAATTCTTTCATTGATTTATTTACTAATTTCATTAAGAGACTATGAAATGGATTCAGAAAGTTAATGTATAACAACTTTTTTGAATTCTAAAAAATCATAAATCTTATTTTTCCTATAATTTCTAATCTATTATTTTTCATCTTCTTTCAATTTCTTAAATTTCTCTAGAGCATTTTTAATGGTACAGCATCATTTAAAGGAATGCAATTTAAACACTTAGCTCTATTGTTAATAAGTTTTTCTTTCTTAATATCAATATAAGTGATTGGTTAATTATGATTTTGACAATTGACATTGCTAACAAATGATTATATCATATATATTATATATACATTAAATGATAAAAACAAAAATTGGAAATATCATATTAATAAAATTTATATGCAGCCCCAACAGAGTTTAAAAAACTTGTTCCTCAGAACAAATGGATTAATCAAAATAAAGCCTAAAGTTAGAGTTACTGACAATTATACTCTTTCCCTCGTCTATACTCCTGGAGTTGGCCATATTTGTAAAGTGATCCAAAAAGACCCTGATTAACTGTATGATTTGACAATAACTGGAAATTCAATTGCACTTCTTGCTGATGGATCAAGTAAATATATATGCATTATCCCATAGAATTCAACCTCCCTCGCTCATCTAAAATGATTCCTAATCTAGAAGCCATTAGTGCTTTATATAAAGCATTTTATGATGTTGATGCCTATCCTATAATATTGGATAGAAATATTATGACAGATGTATCTGATTATGTTCTAGTAATGGACAATTTATCACCTACATATAAAGTATGTTTTTAGTCTATTTTTAGACTATAGTTTTAATTGACATCGAAGATACTTTAGCCTCACAAATACTCACAGCTGTAGAAAATGCCAATCTATAATGTACTGTGATTATTTCAAACTCACACAATTTGAGGGAGTAACTATATGATGCTGCTTTGGTCAAGGCCACTCTTGATGCAAGAGCTATTCTTAAACCCTCTTAATGTGAATAAATAAAAAAATCAATTACATCAATTGATTTTACAAATCTACCATCCTATTTGACTATCACATTAAATAAAGCTTATGCTCAAGGATTACAAGAAATCTACAATAATAAATGGTGTCATCATACTGTTTCAAATATTAAACCAGAAATCTTCATTAATAAATTAAATGATCTTTATATATATGGAGAGGTTGCTTATTATAATAAATGGTCTAATAATCATTTGTTATAAAATAATGATTTCAATTAGAATTCTTTGGAATTACATAAAAGATACAATGGAATGATCACAATCGAACTCAAGTTTAATCCAAGATCCCTTGAAGATTTATTTAGAATTTATGAAACATCTTACTAATAAGATGAATTAGCATAACTTAGATAAATACTTATAGATGATCCAACAAAATTAAGAGAAATTACTTTTAAAAAAAATTATGCTGCCATCATAACTAATGGTACAGCCATTCTTGGTTTGGGTAATATTGGACCATCAGCAGGATCACCAGTTATGGAAGGCAAATCTGTTTTATTCAATGCATTAGGAGGTATAGATTTAATGCCAATCTGTCTTAAAGAGAAAGATCCTCATAAATTAGTTAGAATTATTAAATGGTATTTCCTATATAAATATATTAAAGCATTGCTCCTATATTTTCAGCCATTAATTTAGAAGATTTAAGAGCTCCTGATTGTTTTCCAATAGAAGAAGAAGCAGTTCATAGTTTACATATTCCATTAATGCATGATGATTAACATGGAACAGCTGTTGTTAGTTTAGCAGCTGTCATTAATTATCTAAAATTAACTAAGAAAAATGTGAAAGATTTAAAATTAGTTATAAATGGAGCAGGGTATATATATTAGATATAATTATTATAGTGCTGCTGGTGTTGCAATTTGTAAATTATTATATGGACATGGAATATAAGATATTGTAATGTGTGATACATCAGGAATCATTTATGAAGGTAGACCATAAAATATGAACAATTTTAAAAATGATTTAGCCAAATTCACTAATAAAGATAAAATTTAAGGCTCTCTTGCAGATGCAGTTAAAGGAAGAGATCTATTTGTTGGAGTATCTAGTGCTGTAATTCTATATATAATAATTATATAGGGTGCTTTAACTTAAGATATGGTCAAAGCTATGAATAAGGATCCTTTCATTTTAGCTTTAGCCAATCCTGTTCCTGAAATAATGCCTGATGAAGCAATTGAGGCAGGTGCATTCATTGTTGCTACAGGAAGATCAGATTTCAATAATTAAGTCAATAATTCTTTGGCTTTCCCAGGTATATTTAGAGGTGCTATTGATACAAGAGCTAAAGAAATTAATTTGGAAATGAAGGTATTATTTATATTATAATAAATATATAGATTGCTGCTGCATATGCTATAGCCAATAGTATTAAAGAATCAGAACTTAGTACAACAAAGATTTTACCAGGAGCTTTGACAGCAGAAATTCCAGCTAATGTTGCTAGAGCTGTTGCTATAGCTGCTATGAAGACAGGTGTTGCCAAAGTTAATGTAGATCCTGAGAAAGTTTTTGATGAATCAAGAAAATTAATTATGGAAGGACATTTAGCAGGCATTTGATTAATTTAGAGCATATATTATACAATTTAATATTTTTAATAATAAATAATTATATATGGGAAAGAAGAAACCAGATAGTTTTTTAAGTTAATTATCTAAATTGTTTAATGGTGAGAAAATCATTAAATTAACTATAAAAAGAAGTATATAAGTTATTTATTATTTATAGATTTGAAAGAGCAATATCCACAACTTCGAAAAAGATTGAGAAGAAAATAGAAGTAACAATTATTGAGTGAAATTAAATAAGTTAATGATATTAATGAAATTATCATTAGATCATAAACACAGAAATTAACAATTTCTACATCTTCAAATAAATAACAAATTAATAAATTTGCTGATTCATTATCTAATATCTATCGTTTATATTGTCACGATCAATAGAAATAGATTAAAGTAGGTTTATTTGTCTATTTAGAAAAAACATGTTTTATTACCAACTTAACCAAATGCTAAATCTAAAACTTAATAAAGATTAAAAGCCAAAAAATTGAGAAACAAAGAAAGACGATAAAAAAGACATGAACTATCGAAATTAAAGAAAAAGGATTTGCAAAGATAAAAAACATTTGCAAGCAAAAAAAGAGAAGATTAATAATAATGATATATGTATACGATTTAGTACGTGTTAAATTAATATTGTAAATTTTAGAAAAAATATTAAAAACAAGAAATTATTAATCAAAATTTAGATTTTTTTGTTATTCTTCTTATTGTAAGTTTAGATTATCTTTATTTCTATTTCTATTATATTTACAATTCATTAGGCAAATTATCAGGTTCATCAATCAAAATTATATATTTACTTACTAATAAATGAAAATACTTCTCAACATCAACATGCATAAATAATTAATTCTTCATATGCATTGCATATATATCATTAGTTAATCTAAATATTTCACTTCTATATGTATTAGCTTCCACAAAATCTCTACAAACTCTTAATTTTTATTTATAATATTTAAGATCCATTCTATTTTTCTTGATTAATTATTAATCTTTTATATGTTATCTTATTCTATCTCTCATTAATTCAAAAATAAAACATTTCCTCATCTATTATTAAAATTCTTTATCTTTCAACACTTAAAACCAAGTAACTAATCCTTTATTTCTCAAAGCTGCCTATTTCCATTTTATTTCTTCATCCTTTATTTTTTCATTTAAATTATCCCATTTAACAATCATATCACTTTTATATTTTGTATAATTTTCTTCAAATTATAAAATATGTTTCTTTATAATATTAAGTTTATCTCCTAATTTTATCATTTTCATTTTTATACAGTAAATTGCTGCTCTTTATTATAAACAAGGTAATAATATTTAAATCTATTTATTTCTTATTATCCTCCTTATTGTTTTTGTTTTAGCCTTAATTGAAATAAAACAATCAACTAAAACTCTTGTTTCTAAAAATTCTCCTTTTGGACATATTATTTTTTTTTTCATTTATCTTAAAAGTGATTTAATTCGAAATGCTACTAATCTATTCTTTTTCATTACTTACTTTTTATGTGAAAATACATCAAATATTCTTTAACTCATTTTTATAAAATAAATTATAATGGCCCATTATTATTCAAATATTACTTTTTGAGTTTTCTTATCATTTATAATTTTAGTTATGATTTTCTCTTGATTTGCCAATTTCTTAGCTTTTATTTGATATTACTTTTACATTTTTGCTTGTGTTTTAGATTATCTTTAAAAATTTCTAGTTGATAATACTTTCAAAAATCTTTCTGATCTTGATATTTCATCTTAATATCTATTTTTTTTAATTCCTGCCTATTCTTTATTGGAATTGATAATACATTAAAAAGATTTAGAATGAGAGAATTTTAACATTTATTGAAAATCACTTGATGGAGTATCTTAAAGAGTTTTAATTCTTTAATTATTATCTTCAAATTATAAGTTAAATTAAAGATTGAATATAAGTTCTGAATCTTTTCGAGTAATGATTGAAATATAAATAAATTCACCTATTATCACTGAAACAATAAAACCTCTATTATTAATTACTTATTCACAATTATAATTTGTTGGAAAAGGATGAATCTATGAAATCATTAATTAAAATTCACTAGTACATTAAATTTGACAACCAAAAGGTGCTATTAAATTCTCACTAGAAATTCTTAAATATTAATGTTCCATTGCTTTAGTAATATAAGTCTTTCCTGATATAATTGTATTATTCTTTTCAGTTTTGATACATTATTCATTCCTTTATATGATTTGAGTTTAAAAATGAGGTAGTCTTACTTAGTTTTAAGAGGTTCTTAGAAAAATAGATTTTTTAGTTGAAGGTCTTCTATTTTCATAAAAGATTTGTGAGCTGCTAATATAATTTAATGAAAAAGTGGCTTCCCTTCTAAAAGTAGTGTCACTCATTTCAGTTTTAAGATTTTCTTTCATCTAAAATAATATTAAATTTATATATTTGTTATATATAATATTTGATAAAAATCATAATGTTTTTTATTTTTTATTACTTAAAGCTATTACTCCTAAAGCAGTTGAAGCTAATCCCAAAAGAGACATAGATGATAAANATATTTAAATCTATTTATTTCTTATTATCCTCCTTATTGTTTTTGTTTTAGCCTTAATTGAAATAAAACAATCAACTAAAACTCTTGTTTCTAAAAATTCTCCTTTTGGACATATTATTTTTTTTTTCATTTATCTTAAAAGTGATTTAATTCGAAATGCTACTAATCTATTCTTTTTCATTACTTACTTTTTATGTGAAAATACATCAAATATTCTTTAACTCATTTTTATAAAATAAATTATAATGGCCCATTATTATTCAAATATTACTTTTTGAGTTTTCTTATCATTTATAATTTTAGTTATGATTTTCTCTTGATTTGCCAATTTCTTAGCTTTTATTTGATATTACTTTTACATTTTTGCTTGTGTTTTAGATTATCTTTAAAAATTTCTAGTTGATAATACTTTCAAAAATCTTTCTGATCTTGATATTTCATCTTAATATCTATTTTTTTTAATTCCTGCCTATTCTTTATTGGAATTGATAATACATTAAAAAGATTTAGAATGAGAGAATTTTAACATTTATTGAAAATCACTTGATGGAGTATCTTAAAGAGTTTTAATTCTTTAATTATTATCTTCAAATTATAAGTTAAATTAAAGATTGAATATAAGTTCTGAATCTTTTCGAGTAATGATTGAAATATAAATAAATTCACCTATTATCACTGAAACAATAAAACCTCTATTATTAATTACTTATTCACAATTATAATTTGTTGGAAAAGGATGAATCTATGAAATCATTAATTAAAATTCACTAGTACATTAAATTTGACAACCAAAAGGTGCTATTAAATTCTCACTAGAAATTCTTAAATATTAATGTTCCATTGCTTTAGTAATATAAGTCTTTCCTGATATAATTGTATTATTCTTTTCAGTTTTGATACATTATTCATTCCTTTATATGATTTGAGTTTAAAAATGAGGTAGTCTTACTTAGTTTTAAGAGGTTCTTAGAAAAATAGATTTTTTAGTTGAAGGTCTTCTATTTTCATAAAAGATTTGTGAGCTGCTAATATAATTTAATGAAAAAGTGGCTTCCCTTCTAAAAGTAGTGTCACTCATTTCAGTTTTAAGATTTTCTTTCATCTAAAATAATATTAAATTTATATATTTGTTATATATAATATTTGATAAAAATCATAATGTTTTTTATTTTTTATTACTTAAAGCTATTACTCCTAAAGCAGTTGAAGCTAATCCCAAAAGAGACATAGATGATAAAACTGTAAATGCCTTTTGATAAATTCTTCTTGATGATTTCGAAAAATACATTTGAACCATAATACAAATGATAGATACTATTAATAAGGATTTTGTTCTGCTTGATAATCTACAAAATTGTTGAAAATCATATAATACTTTCTTAAATTAATTTTATGGTTTTCCTTATGTACAATAGGTTTATGCATTAACAATGAGATAACATGTAATAAGGTTTAAGAATTATTTTTTCTTTTTTTTTATGTATACTATTCATAATCGACATATCTATCCCAATGTTCTACTTTAACTGGTTATTGAATGATTTATTAATGTAATTGTTTATCCTAATTAATTTGTAGTTCATCTTCTTAAATGTAATTTTCTACTAATTCCTTTTTTATTGGTTCAGGAAACAAATTTATAGTTCCTTTTCTAAGGATAGCTTCTTTCAATTTAGGATTGATATCTTCAAATGATTCTATAATTTCTTCTGGAGATTTTTTAATTAGAAATGGACTTAAAAATACTCTTAAATGTCTCTTAATTGTTTCAAAATACCAAATATCACACAAAATATCAAATAAAGATCTTTCTAATAAAATCTTTCTAAATTTATCAGAAATATTGTTTAAAAATCCTTTTCTTTTAATTCTTATCCATTTAATTTTCAACAGAACAATAAGTGAACAAATTGTTAGAGCAAGTATGATTGTAAACTTAAGCGAAATAAAAGTAAACCATGTATAAGTTAAACAACTTAACAAAAGTAAAGCAAATACCATTTCTATAGCTTTGAGATCAACTTAAGTCATTTACTAATAATTCATCATTAAAAATATATATATATATATTATGTTGAAATGCCTAAATTTAATTATTAAATGATGATAATTCAATTCACAAATTTAGCACTTCCTGCTTTGTTCTATTAAGATGCTCCTTATCCCTATTCTGCTGGTTTTAAAATTTAAAAAGAACACATAAGTGATTCATCCACTGTCATCATAGATCCTTATTTTATTTAATGAATATATTACCTGCATTATCAAATTCACCACAATAATTAGGAGCTGAAAATAATGTTACTAATTATCTTTTACTAAAAAATTCATATCCATCTTCAACTACCTATTAATAATATTTTATCAATTTATACTTAATGTGCTCTACATATTAAATCTAATTCATGCTTTTTCAAAAATACTTATACTATTTCTTGACTAAATACATATGAAACTCCTCTTTCATTATCTGCCCATCCTTATACATCTTTATCAGGATCAGACCATAATAAATCACAAAGTAATCCAGTATCTGGAACATCTGTTGGTCTCATTATTCTTCTTATTTATTCCAAATTTGATAATTCAGGTGATAATCCACCATGCATACATAAAATCTTTTCATCAATTAATGCAGCCACAGGTAGACAATTAAAGCAATCAGTAAAGGTCTTCCATAATTTTATAGTATATCTTCTCTTGCCTATAATGATAAATTGATCTATTTACATTCATCATAGAATCCATAAATTCTGTTAATAGATGCACATTCATGATTACCTCTAAGTAAAAAGAAATTCTCAGGATATTTTATTTTGTAAGCTAAAAGTAGACAAATAGTTTCTAAAGATTACTTTCCTAATCAAATAGATCATTTTAATTATACCTCTATCAACATAATCACCAAGAAATAGATAATTACTTTCAGGAGGGTATCCTCCATACTCAAACAATCTAAGTAAATCAAAATATTAACCATGCACATCACCTATAAACCCATATTATCATAAACTAACCACAGATTTTTAATGGAGCCTCAAGTTCCAATAAAATTGGTTGAGAAATAAAAATGTCTCTAGCTTTTATACACAATCCTCTGACTTCTGCTTCTGTTAAGTTGACATTCTTTCCTGGTTTACTTCCTCTGACACTTAAAAGTCTTTCAATGATATTATCAACATCAATTTCACCCTTATTATCTTTGCTCATATATTATAATTTAAAATTTAAATCAATATAATCAGATGTAATTATAATACCAATCATATAAGTTAACCATTATAAAATCTATCCTTAATATACACATCTTCTCAAGAACTAATTAAATTTATTAACACATAATTCAACTATAATTATAAATAACTGAAACATTGGAATTTATTTTTATTATTTAAGAATTTAAACTCCATTCTATTGCTTTTCATTAATATGTTAGAAATAGAATAAGTATTTTTAATACTAATGAAATTTATACTCAAAAATTAAAAAAAGATGAGATCTATAGAGATATAATGAATTATTTAGAAAAACATAATATTGGTTAATAAATATAGATAATGTGTTTGAACATCTAGAAGTTTATTGATTATACTAAAAATTAATATTAATAAAGTAAGTTAAATTGGATCAATGTTTTATCAATTACATAATTTCTATTTTTTAGAAAAAAGCATCAAAAAATTAAAAAGATCTTTTGATATATGGAAAATATGATTAGAGCTTACAAGATTATGTATCAACTCTTAAATTGTTTAAGTCAAAATAATATGAGGTGATGACACTATATATATTTGATTGATATTGTGTAATTTAATTAATAAATTATGTATTTGATTTTGTCAGCATTAACAATTTGCTCTTACGCAATCGCTCCTCATGTGTTGACGTAAGGACCCTTTACAGAAACTAAAGAGACTTTTCAATTCACATAGCTCTTGGATCACAGTGACCCTGCCAATAATCAAACATGGCAATAGAGATACCATGTGTATTCTCAATATTATAATCCCACTAAAGGTGGAGTGATCTTATATATTTGTGGAGAATGGAATTGTTAAGGTGTAAGTGATAACTCATTCTCCTTTTAATTGGCTAAGGATTTAGGTGCAATTGTTATAGCATTAGAACACAGATTCTATGGACAATCTCAACCATTTGGAGCAGATTCATGGAGTTTGGAAAACTTGTCTTATTTAAATGTTCATCAAGCCTTAGATGATCTAGCCTATTTTATATTGTAAATGAAGAGACTTCAACTTCATAACATCGATTCTACATTGCCTTGGTAAATAAGATATCTTAATATATATAGGTATGCAATTGGAGGTTCATATCCTGGGGCTTTGTCAGCTTGGTTCAGATACAAATACCCTCATTTAACAGTTGGTAATTTGGCTAGTAGTGGAGTCATCAACACAATTCTTGACTTTTGGTAATTCGATGATCAAATTAGAAAAAGTACTAGCAAAAGTGGTGAATAGTATATATTTATAAATTAACATACCCTAGATGTCCACTCTACTTATAGTTGTTGAATAGTTATGTTGATAAGAATTTAAAGAATTTCAATACCAAATAGGCATTCAAAGAATCTTATAGATGTGGAAAAATGACAGATAACGAATTTAGATGGTTCTGGGTTGACACAATCGTTTAAATGGTCTAATAAGGAAAGAGAACAAAGTTTTGTTAAACTCTTGAATCTTTACCATCCATTGAAAGTATGGCTGAATACATTAAGGAAATTGCTCTATCTTAAGGAGATAGTTATAAATAATATGGTGCTTATTATTTAAGAAATGAGACCATTGATGAGAATTCCCAACATCGTCAATGGTATTTCTAATGCTGTACTGAAGTTGCTTATTTATAAACACCTCCATAAGTATAATTAAAATCAAATGATAGAATAAAAATTCTTTAAGATCTTATGAATTGACATTAGATTGGTGGAGAGAATGGTGCAATGATGCTTATTCTTAAGGAGAAATAATTTGGCCAGATGTCAGAGTCACTGAAGCTTATTTTGGAGGTTTGAATTTGAATGTTGATCATTTAATTATGACTAATGGAGGTGAAGATCCTTGGTAAAGAGCATCTTTGACTAATAAAACTAAAGCTAATAGCAAAGTGATAACTTATTTAATTGATTGTGATGATTGCTCTCATTGTGTAGATTTGAAAGCTCCCAGTGCTAATGATCCAGCAATTTTGACATAAACAAGATAAACCATAAAGAATACATTTAAATAATGGCATGATTAATTTTGGAGTAAAACTCTGATTGAGTGAATAATAAATATTAAAGAAATATATATATATATAGAATCAGTTATTATGGCTTTCATACCAATCACAATATTTTAACAATTGATTTGCATTCATTTATTCAGCATATAATTTAATTTTAGGCAAAGTAGTGTTATCAATCAATAAGGATAACTATTTCTCACACAAAGATTTCAAATCTAGTATCAAGTAATAATCAGCTAATTATAAAAATTGTCTATAGAATTCAATAGATTATTAAAATTGATCACATTATAACTAAAATAAATAATATATTTACATCTCCTGTGTAAATAAAGTATAATAATTATTCAAAAATAAAGGATGAGCAATCATTAATAAAAACTTTCTATTGTTAATTTTTGTATTCCCATTCAAACATTTTATTAAACATTTCATATCGAGATAAAACTATTTTATGTGCATATAATTGTTTGTCTTCCACAATAAATATGATATCACTATATTTAGATGAATTGAAAAAGCCTCTGAAATATTGATTAATAGAGATATTATTAAAATCAGCCACAGAAATATTTGGAGGTGGATCTGTATCAATAATGAAATAATCTTTGAAATAATAAGATCCACAAGATCCACCAAATATATAAATAAGATTACCAATAGCAGTCATACTATGACCAGCTCTAGCCTTATCAAATTATTCATCATCTTGAAGTTCAATAATATTCCATGCATTTTTAATAGGATCATAACATTATAAATCTCCAAAACAAGTAGTTTATGGTCCACTCCCACCAAACAAGAATATCTTATTTTCTATAGTAGTCATACACATTCCTGCTCTAGCACTAGGAGATTGAATTGGTTTTAATTCACACCACTTATTAGTTGTCACATCATAACAATGTAAATCATTCAATCTTTTAGATCCATCCCAACCTCCAAAAATGAACAATTTATTTTGCCATACAGCAGAACTGTGATTGGCTCTAGGTGGAGGTCTCTAATTTTCTGCAGTCTATACTAATTTCCACATATTGGTTTTAGTATTAAAACTATGCAAATCATTCAAATAATCTTTTCCATCCCCTCCTCTAAAAATGAAGATCAATTAAGCAATTAAATCAGCACTATGCATATTGCATGGACCTGGAACCTTAAATTTATTTTGTAATCATACTTCTCCCATTGTATTTACAAGTGTCCAATTCAAACAATCCAGATCTAATACATATACATCCCTACTAGCATATATTCCACTTCCCAACCAACCACCAATTACATACATCTTATTATCTACTACCGTTGCTGTATGTCCATTTCTACTCTCTGGAATTCTCCCATTTGCTTTACACTTCGTCCAATTCCCATCTTTATAAATGTGGATATCATTGTGATTCTTTTTAGAATCATATCCTCCAAATATAAATATCTAATTCTTGTAATGCACAGATGTATGATTTTTTATTCCTGGGCATAAATTCGCATTATTCCGAATAACCTTAACTGTCTATCTTTCCAACGAATACCAATTAGGCGATTAGCCATTACCATCATTCTAAAACATTTATTTAATAATACAATATATTAATTATCAACAAAAAGAATCATTACTTTTTTATTTATTTAGACTTACTACTAATATCTATACTTGATTTAGAACTATCATACTTATTAACTCTATTCTCTTGAAAGTTCTTAATAAATATGCTCATTTTATCAAATTTAACATTCTCCTTATTTTTTATTGTCTAATTAAACTCATCTGTTTCTTTACTTGTTGATTTTTATTTTATATCTAAATTTAATCTCACTTCTACCATAATCAACCCATTTCTCCTCCTCTTTCTCAAATTAACCATTCTCTCTCTACTCCTTTTACTTAATTACAAATCTACTTTCTCCCTAAAATAAAGCCACATCCTCCATCTCTTGTTGAAACCTTCTTCTCTCTCTAAACTATCCTTATTATCCATATCTTGCACTTCCACTTACTTCACAAATGCTATTGGTTCATGTCAAAGAATCCAATTTTTAATATCACTCTTTAAACCAATAAATCTTATTTTAAATGCTACTCAACAATTCATAATTCTTTGTAATCTTAATGCTTACTTAAAGTATTTTTCATATAATTCTGATAAACTGCCATTAGATTTATTTAATTTATTTACTTGATCATTTCTATCAATTTATTTTTAAGAAACATCTTTTTAATAATTATACTTCACCAACAATTTACCAATCATTTTTTTTTAATCTTTACTCCTATAAATTTTTATTTCCTCATCTTGTTTCTCCATTTAATGATTATCTTATTTTAATTCATCCTTTCTCATATCTTCATATACAGAATCCTCCTTATGGTTTTCTTATAACTCATTATTCTTCTCCTTATTTACTTTATCATCTTCCTCTTCAATAATATTCTCTCCTCTAAATAATTCTTTTCATGATCACTTTAATACATATATGTATCAAGCTTATCAAAATCATTCTTTTATTGTTATTTTTACTTTTTCAAAAATCTAAAGTTTACTCTATCTTCATGATATTTTAATTCTTTCTTTTTATTCTTTAATCATATCTAATTATTCTTCTTTTACTCCAACTTCTTTATCTTCATTTATTTTTAAAACTTTTTTTATCTAATTATCCTTCTACTACTCTTCAACTACTATTAACTTTAAATTTTTAACACAGTTTTAATTAACATTTTCAATTGCCCTATAGATCAAAGTCCATATTTTTTTCATTACAAGGTTAATTCAATGAGACACATATCAATTATTTATTTAATGTTATTGCAATATGTTATTTTCTTAAGAACTATGAGACCTTACAATAAAATATTAATACTTGTAAAAATAAATAAATTAAACATTTATGAATGATCATTCTATTAAAATTTTGTAATTCTTTATGTATAAATGATATTTTCTAAAATTAATTAAACTCATATTATATTTGTAATTATTAAATTTTTTTTAATTATTTAAAGACTTTTAATAATTCTATAAAGAGTCAAAATTTAGTATTAATTTGGAAACATTTATTAATTAATTTAACAAATATGGATATTCTTGACCTTATCTACTGACTTTCAGAATATTAAGATTACTTGAGATCTTCCTAACAAAAAAGCAAGTGGATGAATGAACTTACATTTGGGCAATAGAATAATAGAATTGTTATGATAATGATGATGTTTGATAAGATTATAAATTTAATTATGAAGAAAAGTAAATATTGATAGAATTCTAATAAAAAGCAAATTTATTTGTTTTAATTTGAGTGATTGTATTTTGAATATCTAATCAATTTTTCAATAATTTTAAAGCAAGAAAAAAATAAATTATGTCATTAATTATTAAGATAATCTCTAAATTATTTTATAATAAAATGAAATAAATTCTCATAATTATTAGATATTTTTTTATATGCATTAAAAAATTGAATATACTTAAATAACTTAAAGGTTCTATATAGATAGTAATTATAAAAGTTATTGTAAAAATGTGATAATAATATATGAGAATAAAATTGCAATTTTATAATTTTGTCATAGTCTTTTTTTTCCACAAGAACCACAGTACTTATGGTTATTAGCGAATTTGTTTCCACAATTAGTACAAAATACACTTCTCTGAAATTTATTGCCACTGCTCATTCGAAAACATAATTAAATATGTTTATCAGCTGCCTTTTATTCAAATGTTTTCTAGCAGGAAGGACACTTAACAATAGGAACAGAGCGAGATAATATGTTTTCAGGACGCTATTTAATTTTAGGCAAGAAAGTAGGTTAACTTGCTGATAGTTCCTAGAGCAATGTTTCATCTGCTTCTTCTTCTTCATTTATAGATGCAATGACTTTATATTTGTCTAACGCTTTTGGTCTAGCAAGACATTTTACAGCGTGAATTTAAGGATTTCTCAATTTCTTATGACAATAAGGACAAGGTTGTATTATTGGTTAAGTTAAAGGTATTTAAGTTTTTTGCTTATTAGATTTTTTAACAAAAGGGTGATCAGCAGTACAACTTCGCAAATGTAGAGCTAACTTTCCTTAAAAGAATTGTCGCTTACAAAATCTACACTATTCTTTTGGTATAGACTCAACTTGTGCATCTAAAGGTGTGAATGGTCTTTCAATCTATTCATCTAATTGTTCCTTATCAAAGGAATTGTTTAGTGCCTATATGGTTGATTTTGAAATAGCATCCTCATCAAAGAACTCATTGTCCTTGTTATCTGAAGGCAATGATAATTTGTTCATGTAAATTATAAATATATAAAAAATGCTTATAAGAAAATTAAGAAATGCTTTTTTAAAGTTCATATATTCCAAAGTAACCCTTATACTCTGAGAAAAAGAACCTTTAAAATATAGTGAATATGGTTATATTCCATTATTATCAGAAACAGATGATTATCGTGAATAATTAGTAGATTTACCAATAGATAATGAATGGAGGAATAATAAAATAAGAAATTCTATAATAAAATCATCTTTAGTTAAAGTAAATGGAATCCATTTATCTACTTTCTTCACCAAAAGTAATTAGCTATTTTGAGCAAAAAATATATACAATAAGATAATAAATTCAGTCTTTATAAATAATGGGTCAATTCCTTTATAAACAAGGAATTTGGAGAATGTATGGATCTTATATGCAAAAGGAGAAATTATTACTTTTAGAATAAGTGAAATTCGTAATGATACTGATATAGCTACTGATGCAGAAACAGACATTGAGGATGTAAATATAAAAGTATTTGTTCAATTTACAATAACTGCATATATATCTACTTAAGGAATTTCAAGATAAAATATTAAATTATCATTTCTGAAATTATTAAGATTAAATTGATATAGTAAAAAGTTCGTAGATAAATAGAGGAGGAGGGTTATTTAAGAGATAAATAAAAGAAAAAGAAAAGAATTAATCTGGGCAGAAGGCAATATAATATTTATGACAAATCTTCCACATGAATTAATGTCTTAATTTTAATATACTATATAAGCTAATGTTATATATTTTGTTGAATATAAGAGATATTTCTCATTCCAGTTATTAGTAAAAGTAAGTTATACTATAATAATTAGGATACTATAAATAATGTTTCAGTAGAAAATATGATATATTATCAATTTAATAATTAATTGAAATAAAGAGAAAGATTGATTTGATGAAGAATCATAAAGATTTAAATATTATTGATTAAAAGAAATATCTTATTATGCCTATTAATGTAGTTCACGAAAGAGAAATAGAATCTAATTATGAACAAACGACTATATAGACCATTTGTAAAGATTGAAGCAACTCTTCAATAATGGCAATATTTCAGGAATCTAAATGAAATTTATATCACTCTAATTAATTAGAAAGAAGATCCTACAGATATTGAATTTAAGGTTATTTTGGATTAGATTAGTTAAATTCGATATATAGCCACATTCATGCTTGATTTGAGAGCAAAGAAAAATAAAGGGTAATCTAACTTTATGTAATATTATTAAATTAGCAATTACCATACTAATAAATAAATCATTCATTTCCTATTGTAGTCAATATCTCGATGATTTCATTGATAGCCACTTCATTTAACATTTAAATTTTAATTTTTTTGCTTTTAATTTCAATTGCATTTTCATATGGAGTATTACCCCATCTATCTCTTTCACTAAAGTCGAATTTAGCTTTAAATCTTAAGAATTTGATTATTTTTAAATTCATAGACATTACTGCCATATGACCTATGTTTCGATTATCAACATTAACAAAATCATTCAAATTTTTAATTCCTCCATGAAAAATGAGTTCTAACATTTATAAATCTCCATCTAAACCAGAAGTTAATATTAATTCCACCATTACATGATGTGGTGCTAATATGATACCTCCATTTTACTAAAAGAATAATAATAATTCTTTATCTCTACTAATTAATGCTTCATACATGGGTGAATATCCTAAATAATCAACTGGATTAATTTCAACTTCAACTTCTTCAATTAAATATTTAATGATTTCAATTTATTTATAAGCAGCAGCCAAATGAAGTATAGTTCTTCCATCAAAATCAGGTATATTGAGATTCCCTTCATTCCTTCTAAGATCCTTAATTAATTCTAGTTATCCTGTTGTAGCAAGAAAACATCCCAAATTAGGTATTATGTATTTATTCATAATATCCATATTTTGACTAATTTATTCATCTCCAGATGTTTTTTATAGAGTTTCTAAAATAGTTTATATGAAATGTTGTTTTTGTCCTTCAAATTTTTCAAATTATCTAACAGATTCAGTTTCACCTTACAAATTTTATGGGAATTTTCTAAATATCTCTTAATTAGTGTATCCTTTACCTAATAAATATGCTATTTTAGCTTAAGCACTTTCTGGTGTGATATCATATTAAACAATAATGTCATTAACTACTTTCTTAAAATTGATAATTGGTTATCCTTTGGTACATTAAGATATTTGAATCAAAATGATTCCCAATTGTTATTGAGCATACAACAATACATTATACAACTCTTAACTATGAGGCATCTCACCAAAGTGGTAACATTCTAATATACAACATCTTAATTTAGGAGTATTTAAAATATGTCTAATATGTTCAACACTTGTGTATGGTGTTATTTTTATAATAATTATATCTGTAACAAAATGAGGAGCTAATTCTAAGGTGCTTTCTTCATTTGTGAACATTTGTTCTCCTCTTCTTAATACTAATTACCATTTGATTTCAATATTAATTCCAAATTCTACCAAAGGTGGAAAATTTGGACTTTCAATACAATCCAACGAATCACATTTTAATTGTCTACACCTATTGGCTCTATAAGCTTTATGGTCCATTACTATAACAACTTCTGGGATCAAGAAATGACCAGCTAAAATTAATGAATCTAAGATATTTTAAAATGCGTCATTTCTCATAAATGATAAAGGTATTAGAGAACCAGTTATGACTACAGTTTTTTGTAAATTCTCTAACATGAACGATAAATTTGTGCCTAGATAAGTGATTGTTGCAATCCCACTTAAAATAACAAAGGCACTATATTTTTCATAATTTTCTTTTATGATTTCAGCAATATGTCTAATATCAGAATAAGACTAGATAGAGAAAATAAAATTACCGTTTGTCTAGAATTTTTTATTTATTCCAATTCCATAACTTTATAGACTGTTCTTCTTCCAAATTCAGATATTGGAGTTGTAAGACATCCATCTTGATTATGGTACTTTTGGATATGAATAATTAAATACTTAAGTGTATTCAAGATCACAAAGAAATGAAATGTTTTTCAATCTTTATTCTAATCTTCCTTTCATTACAGTCATATGAGATTCACTAACTTCACCTTCTGCAGCAGTTGCCCCAGATGCATAAATCATTAACACTTTGCGGTCATTCAAAATTTATAAGTTTTATTAAGCTCCTCCAATATTTGCTATTGATGAATTTGTAGTATCATGTTTAGATCCTTAACTTTTCAATTTAGGTGTTTCTCCATCTGAACTCATATCTCTATTATAATCTAAAAATAAATGTAAAAAAAAACTATATAACGAAAAAGACTACAATATGAAGAAGCACTTAAAGTAGCTGCCAAAGAAGATGTATATAATCAATAAGATGTTTTAGGTTTCTTTTTTTGGATAATGCACTAAATTTAGAGAGAGATCAACAGAACCTGCACCAATAGATCGTGCAATATAATTTCTATTCCTTAAAGAAAATGTATGTTATATTTAAAATACAAGAATGTTAATAGAAAAATAGCATTGTAATTTGGAAGTAGAAGATTATGTAAGATAGACAGTACACGTTAATATGATGGACCAGCCAATTTTAGAGTTATGAAAACATCTAAACAATTAATAGGTTCAATAAATGGTTGGCAAAATGGAACTGCTGATGTTAAATTTAATTTGGGTTCTGGTTTTACAAATATATAAGACAGATATGATAATAGTTTTAGATTAAAAAGTGATACTGATTAAAGAGTAATGACTTCTGAGAGGGATAGAATTTCAATGTAAAAATATGAGTTCTCCAAGTTCAATTCTTAGAGATTGACGTAAGAATTATGTAAATTAAAAGCGGAGAACACATTCAAAAATATACAATATAAGCAAATTGTTGATTTTACTTAACAATCACTATTTTAACCTTTTGAAAAATAAACCACTCCAAAATTATCTACTCCAAAATAATTCTATGAAGATTCTGTAAATGAAAATGATCCTAAAACATTTGATGATTCAAGTAGTTCAAGAACTAGAGCTATAACTAATTTACATGAAAAAAAATAAACATAATAATTATATAAAAAGACAATTTCAGAACATAGATTTGGTTAAAATAAATAAGCATATCTCAAACTCTTTAAATAATTAAAATCAGATACACAATTAATTAAATGTAAATAGAATATAAAGAAATGCTAGTAATTATAAAATGATAGCAATTCTAGAAGAAACTCATAACTTTCTTTTTTCTTCAATCTTACAAATAAATAAAGATTAAATTCTAATACTTCTATAAGCAATTCATAATAAAATTACAATTAATAATCAAATTATAAATAAGAAAACAACTTTGAGTAATAATTAGAATAATTTGTCAAATAAAGAATGTTTACATAACACAATTAAACTAATTGTTCTACTATTGATTATACTAATATACATTAGAAATTAAATGTATTCTTTTTTTTTATATAAATTAGCAATATCAATAAATAAAACAGTAAGAAATTAAAAGAATATAAAAAGTGCGAATGGTTTCATAGAGATGAATTATATATCATTAATTAACTTTGAATTTGATAGGCAATAGTTTAGGTGATGGTTCTGTATTTGATTCATTTAATGATGGTTAAGTTGGATGTCTGTAATTTGAGTATTTGCGTAGAACTGAATAATCATTTTATCTTGACTTTATAATATCGTCTTATAGTATACTTAATTACTAGGCTCTTTACGAACTTCTAATGATTGTCCCTCTATTCTACGTAATTTCTATCTCAATCGTGATACTTCCATTTCCTTTGTAGAATTTGTGATTTAACAAGCTCTAAGCATATCTCTCAATAATGCATTCTCTTATAATAACTTTTAGTTATCATTCTTCATCTTAAAGTATTATTGAAATTGCACATTAGCTACTATCTCTTAAGTCTTTTTAATTTCATCTTAAAGAACTGTAATCTATCAAATGTGAATATCCTTACCTCTTTCTAATGATCAGACCTAATTTATTTGATAGTGCGTTCGTGGTTCTATCTTGCTTGCTCAATTTGCAATTTGAGTGAATCAATTTACCCTTACATTTCTTAACGTGTAACACTTCTAAGGTACATTCTTTTGTTTAAATACTTATTAATAACATCACAATCATCAATATTCAAATCAAGAATATGAGTAAATCAAGAATTTTTAATGATTTATCTCTAACTGAAGAAGCAAACTGAATTAGAATAGACATAATATTATACAATCTAGAATTCATTTATATTTCAGTTCTTTTTATGTATATATTACATTATGAATCCTTAAATTAATCTAATTAATTAATATTCTAAATGTCATTCTAATTAATATCATAACATATTATCTAGTAATTATTAACACATATTTATTTATCTATTAAGATTTATATTTATTTTCTTAATTTTAATATCAATCTTTTTTTAATATAAATTAATATATATATATATATTGATTCTTATTCTACATGAACTATCTTCTATCTTATATATCCACATATAAAAATAATTGCAAATTTCTTTAAATTATATTCATTATTAATTTATCTCCTTTTCTTTTTACAATAATAATAGTGTAATGTTATTCATAATAGATACAAATTCTGTAGATCCTGATTTAACTACTTTAAATGTTTAAGAAAATATAAATTAATATTCTCATCCTGATTTTGATTTTTTTAACCATATAATTATTATTAGGAAAAAGTGAATGTCAAAATACAAGTACTTATTCAAATTAATCATTATTGGAGATTCATGTATAATTGATATTAACATATAGATGTTGGGAAATCATGTCTTCTTTAATTATTTTTACATGATCAACCTAGAAAAGAACATGAAGCTACTGTTGGAATTGAATTTGGTATTAAGGATATCAATATCTCTGGCTCTATTATACGTCTCTCTGTATGGGATACAGCAGGATAAGAGACATTTCGATCTCTCATTCGTGCATACTACCGATCTGCTATAGGTGTGCTCCTATGTTATGATTGTTCTAGTATGTAATCATTTAATGGAGTCGAATAATGGGTGCAAGAAGTGAATAACAACAGCAATGAGAGTAGATGCTTCAATAATTAAAGATGTTGTAATTGCACTTGTCTGCAATAAAATTGATCTACAAGAGTATACAGATCCACTTCAATTATTTTTAGACGATAAGTGTCATCCATCCAAGGAAGATAATACGCTGTTGATCATGGTTACCTCTATGCTGAAGTATCTGCTCTCAAAGGACTTGGTGTTTAATAACTCTTTCGTGATATAGCCCTAGAAATCATTAAAAGAATTAATACTTCTATGATAGATTTGGGAAAACATGTAAAATTAAATGTAACTAGTAGCAATAAGGTATTGTGATTGGATAGTCAAATCTTTCTCCTTCTAAATAAATTATCAATTTAGAATAAGAAGAAACTCAATAGTAGAATAATAAGAAAAAAAAATCATGTTGTTGAACAGTTTATATATAAACATAGATAGAATAATAATAATATCAACTCTTAGGCACAAAGTTTTTATAAAAATTGATCAATTTTTGTTTTTAAATAATTGCAGTTGATTCTGGCGTTTCTGCTATGTAGACTGCAGGTCTTCCTCCATATACACTATTTGCAGGTACAACAGTATCAGGTGGCAATATGGAATCATCAAGTATTATAGAGTTTTCTCCAATTATACATCTATGAGACTACACATTAATTAATCATTCAAATTTACAATATAACAATTTTTTCCAATTGATGTACAAGTACCTATCTTTGTTGCTTATATAATAGAACTTGATTCGATTTCGACATAATCACTTATCATCAAAGGAAGAAATTTTATAACCTTTTTAGTAGGTGATTCTTTAGTGTAGCCATAAGTATAAGAGGGTTTTAATGTTACTTTTTCATGGACAACCAAATATTTGCCTATTGATACTTTGGCAAGATCTCCTCTCAAAATAACATCATTAAAAAAAATGCATCTTCCACTTACATTAATTTGTTCAGTTCCCTTAATAATGGATTTTTTAGATATTTTTATGCCAGATGATGTTTCATGAAACTCAGATTTATCATATTAGATAATTGAATCCATTATTATTATATAAAATAATTATATAATTATTAGATTAGTAAAACCTATTCATTTGAAAATTTACAACTAAATTCTAAATAACAGGAGTATATAAATATAAATTAAATTATTAACTAAGTTAATTATATAATATGTTTAATCAATTAAATATAAATATTTGAGAGAATAAATTCTTATCAGAAATTAAAGAGTATCTCTTATAATCATATAGAATACCCCCTTATCATTATGATTTCTATATATAATAAGTAATAACTTTAATGGAAATATCTATATCTTTTATTATTTACTATAAATATATGTTGACTCCTGATTGAGATCAGTATTCTATGAATTAGTATAAAAATTTAGACTATTATTTATACATTCTTATATATTATCATTTATATTTACTGTATAATTAAAAGTTTAATGTCTCAATATTCAACAATCATAGAAACATATGAATAGTTATATATAATTAATTTATAGTTGGGATTTAAATCTCTTATTTTTTAATTATATTTATAAAATGCTTTTATTTCTCTAATTCTATATTGTCTCTTCCATGTATCCTGTTTCCTATATACATGAACGTCCTTACTTGAGTTTAGACTCAGACCTCAAAGTTCAACTAAAATTAGATGAAGTTTTATCTGAATTCTTACAAAGACATTCATAGAATGATCGGTGTCCAGATTACGAATATTATGAATGTTATGAGGAAGTATATTAAAATGGATAAAAAACAAAAATTAAACTAGAAAAAGAAACCTTCAATGTTTATGATATTCAAACTGAATAAGATATGTCTCAAACAATCATTTACTCTGATTAATAATTATAGGAAGATCAAAATAAAGTGAGTTTCCTTGCTCTAGCTCCATTTTAGAATCATCAAAATACCTTTTATTAGGATGGATTTAGTTTGTGTCTATCTGAATCTGAAGGGTATATAATAACAGATTTCAATTCAATATCTTAGGAAAATGAACCTTTAAATACTGAGGGAGTATTTAATAAATTAAAAGAGGAATAATATACAACATATAGTCTTCATCTTTAGAATATGGAGATTGCTTTAAAGGTTTATGATATTTCATCATATTCTATCTATATTGTTTCAGATGATTTGGTTTCAATTCCAAAAGAAATTTTTCCTCAAAAATATTTTTAATCTAGAGGCTTTGTCCTTGATCAAACAAGTGGTTTCTATTATAGAGATAATAAAGATAAATCAGAAAATGATATGGATTCTCTATTATTGTATAATAATGCCAATCAAGACTATCCTTTAATAATAGATCCTTCTAATTATATTATACATGATGAGAATGGTTAAGATATATTAAAGATATACTCAGACGAATAATATAAAGATGCTATCATATTAGGATTACCATTCTTGAAAAACAAAATTTTTAATGTTCAAACTTAAGAAAATTATTTATATATAAAGTAACTCACAAAAAATCTATGTATTAAAGATGATGAAAAATAATCAATTGGAGTTCTTGAAATAATATTTATTGTACTCTAAATGATTTTACTTCCATTTTTAGTTTATTTCACCTTCAAAAAATTAAGATAACATGAATTACAGAAACAATAGTAAATATAAGCTCAATAATTCATAACTGAATTACAATGATAGTAATTTTGTTTTTTATTATTTTATTAAAGTAATTTAGTAATAAATTTTATTATATATATTTTATGAAGAGTATTCAATATAGATACCAAAAATATATATAGATAATTAATTCATTTAGGTTATTTGAATAATAATCCATGGAGAGAATCAAAATCTTGAGCTTCTAATTATAAGAGAGCTGTTTTGGTTGAATCAAAAATAAATCCAGGTTTAGTATATTTGATTTCTGCAGTTAAAGGTACTCTAGTCTTTTGTACAATTTATGAGGAATCACATAAAAATTTACCTTTAAATTCATTAGTATCTTAAAGGTAAATAAGAATATTGTTATCAATTGTAGCAATAATTTGACAAGGCTTCCATGTTTTCAAAACATTACCACAATCTATTTAAGCATTTTTGATTCTTAATTTAATTAAGGAATGGTTTTCTTGTACACTTCCCAATTTTATATAAGCATCAGGATAATTACAAAGGAAATCTTATAATTAGGGAAGTGTTAAAGGTTATTTTCCAAGCATCTTCTATATAATTCTCAAAATATCTTGGCTTAAGAAATTCAATACTTCAAATGATTATACTACTTATTCAGGTTCTAATTAATTTATTAACTAGACTATATAAAAATGAAAATGCTACTCCATAAAGCAATTCTTCTTATGCAGAAATCTATTATTGTTTGCTTTGACTTAATTACACATGTTTATCAAGATACATCCTTAAAGAAGTGATGACAATTTAATATCTATGGACTTCTTATTTTTTTACTTCATCAAATAATCTAGTAACAGCTTATCCCATATTTTTTTATAATTTAGCCATCTCAAGAAATGAATTAATCAATTTGCGTTCAGTATGATAAAGATCCTTTCCTTTATTTTCTCCTTACATTTATCTTTGATATAATCCTTAATGTTTTCTACGATATTTTGTAAGTTTTGAGGAACTGGATGCAAAATTACTAAAAGCTTTTCTATATTGATCTCTATGTATTGAGATACCACTTTCAAACATTTCTATATTGAAATCAAGTTTCTCTTTTATAAATTTATCAATTCCATCTAAGAGATTGAGTATTTTAATAGCATTTCCTTAATCATAATTACAAATTTCTTTGATAGTTTCATCTAATTTAGGATAGTATAAAGTTTATCCATCTTGAAATAGTTTATTAATATCATTATTTTTAGTTCTTAAATACTCTACATTTTATTTTTCATGTTATACAAAAGTCTTAATGAAATGAATAAGATTTTGAATGCTTCTATTTGAAATTGCAATTCTCTTTTCTAATATGCGAAATACATCTTTAATAATTTGTCTATGTTACTACATATCAATTCCAACTTGTTCCATCCATGCTTATAATTGATTATATGATTAATGCCTATGAAATTTAACAGAAGTTGGATCATCTTAATGATTGATTGGTCTTTAAGCAACTGATTATCTAATAGATTCTCTAAGACGATCTTCAACTAATTGTTCTGGATTATAACTAGGCATATTAACAAATTTGAATGATTAATCTTCTGCTTATACATATTCTGATTTAACTATTTCCTCTTAGAAATCACTTTACATATTAAAATATTTTTAAAATTAACTCAATCAAATATCATTACTTTAATTTTTCTAACTCTGTTAATTTGGTTTCAATCCTTTTCAAAATAGAATCCAAATGATCAACTGATGATTCCATTCCTTCAATTGAATTCTATATTTAATTAATTTTCTAAATATTTTCATCTAATTTATTTTCTACAGTCTTGATAAAAGATTGGATAACTTACAAATGTTTTTAGTTTCTTCAAATTCTTATCTTATTTAATTAATTTTATCCAAATTTTTTTAGTAATGTACAATAGTCACCTCATTCAATTTTTCTATGGTCGTAGTTTTCAATTAAATAACTTTAGACAATACTACATAGTAATACTCTTTTATTGATTGTCCACATAATTAATGATGGATTAAGCATATTAATCAATTACATCAACTTATTCTTTGCCAATCATATATAATTAATAATAATTTTTAATATATAATATCATTTTTGTTTCTTTGAATTTCTAAATTGTTTGATATTGTTTTATATCTAATTCTGACATGCCTTATGGATTTCAGGTTTGTAACCAAAAAAGAACATTAATTCTAAAAATACAAAGTCAGGTGCAACAAATATCTATAGAATATTATCTAAAAGGGCAGGGGCTCTTTCTAAGAAAATTAGAAAATAATGTATAGGATTACTTTCAAACACTCCATGTCCAATAAATTACAAAATCCAACAAGTGATTTGGAAGGTAGTGGCAACACACAAATGATGATTCCATAAAGCCTCATCAGCATTAGTGAAACGTTAATTGAGATAGAGTGTTATTGCTATATAAAATGACGAAGCAAGAATCTTTAGTGTATCATAGATAATATAAATATTACTCCACTAAATAAGTCTACAGCCATATAGACTAAAGCAAGAACAAACAATGTTATTATACCAAAATTTAATTGACAACAACCTGTATCAATTGTGAATGAGTAATGGTTGACAATTTAAATAGCTGATAACAAAATGAGTGGAATGCATATTAAATGAATTGCCTTGTTCCTGTATTTTTGATAATTATATAAATTTACACTTTATTGTTATGATAACTACCATAGCTGCTGTAGAAGTTAACAATGTCTATTCCCATATTAATAAATTTAATGACTGATAAAGATATCAAAATCAAATCTCTAGAATCAGAATTAGAAAGTAGATAAACCTAAGTTTTATAGCTTGAAACAAAAGTTGCTACTCTTGAGACTAGAATCAATTAGAATGCAGATGTATTTCAACAACTTTTTAAATTCTAGGTCTTAGAATTATAGGAGAAGATCAAAATGCTAGAGAATCAGAATGTAAAACTTGTAGAAAAAAACCAAAGTGATGTTGTGGAATGGAAAACTAAGGAAAGAGAATTTAAGGTAGAAGTTACATCTATATAATAAAGCAATTACTTAAGTAGCATTAAGATGAGCTTGCTACTATTAAGAATGAATTGGATTTAGCCAATCAATAATTGGCTAATTAGTAACATTAAGATGGGAATAATTCTGGATTAGAATAAACTATTAGAGATTTATAGTTAGACCGCAATGATTTAAAATAAATCAATGAATAGTTAAAACATAATGAAAATATACTAAATTTGGAGAAGGAGAAATTAAAGAATCAATTAACAGACTTAGAGGAAGATAAAAAATAGATGTAGAACATATTATAAGATTTAAAAAATAAACATAATAAAGAATTAGAAACTTTGAGAGAACAAATACATTAATATTAAAATGAAATACTATAGAAAGAGAAAATGCATGAGGAATAAATGAGAAATCTATCAAGATTAGAATAATAAATGGAAAATAAAGCTAAAACTAATGAGGAAGAAATTGATCAAATAAAAAGAAATAAGGATTAATTGTAATGTGAAAATGATAGTCTAAAAAAAATGTATGAAAAATAAATATAGGAAATGCAATATTTAGATTAATAAATTAATTGTTATACTAAATAAGTTTCTGAAAAAGATAAATAGTTATAAGTATTATAAAATAAGGTTGATGAGGAATAAAATAAAGTAACTAGTTTATAAAAGAACAATATAGTACTAGAAGAAAAATTAAAAGATTAATAGTTGACTTATGAGAATCTTTTTAAAGATTAGGAGGGATAAATATAGAATGTAAAGAAGGAATATGAATCAAAAATTTCATATATAAAAAAGTATATTATATCATAATTATTTTATAGAGAAAATGCTACTATACTAGAATAATTACAATAATTAAAAGATTAGAATAGAGAATTGATTAGAGACTTGGTAACAAAAAAAAAAGAATAAGAAGATTTATAAAGGGAAAGATCAAGTGAGTAGTTTGAGAAAGATCAGAAATTAGTGGAATCATATGAGAAATTAAGAAAATTAGATTAAGAAGTATAGAGTGCTCTTTTCTATAGGTAAAAGCCTTGATGAAATAAAATAAATCTTAAAAGGAATAAATACTAATGCTTGAGGGAGATCTTAATAAAGCAAAAGAGTAAGTGAGAATGCTATTAAGAGATAAATCTGAATTAAAGTAGTAGTTAGATTTTTTGATTTCATAATAAAATAAAAAAGGTAGATTGAATGAAATTGATTAATTGAAAAAGTAAATTCAAGAATTATAGACAGAATTAACATTATTAAAGGAATCACATAAATCAGCATAAAGTTAATTGAGATCTACAATGGAATCAACAAACTATTAGAAAGGAAGATTGAAAAAATTAGAAATTGAAAATTAATCTTTACTGGATTAAAAAATAAGATTAGAGAATTTATTTTAAGAGTTATTAGATTCAACAAAATCTAAAAAGATGCAAAGAAATCATTCTGAAGTTTAAATAAATGGATATTAGGGTAAGATGATAACAGAGAATAGTTTAATATATTTAGAACCAATGACTGAGAGATTAACAGCTTAAACTAGTAATAATTAGATGTAAAAGAATGGAGATGTTCGTTCACTTTTTAAACGACCAATTTAAGTTGTTAGAATTAGATCATCAGGAAAATAAAAGGGAATAAAAGAAAATTAAGAGAATAAAAGTAATAATAAGGTGATAGAAGAATAATTTGTAGATTAAGATAAGAAAGAAGAGAATGAAGTACCAGAGGAAGTGGATTCTTAAATGAATTAAGGAGAGAATTAATAGGATGATGATGAATAGAAATAATTATCATAAGGTTCAGATAATGAATTATTATGATTATTTATATATATATATATATATAAATATATAATATAAATTATATAATTATAATTGATATCAAATTCATCACACATTTAAATTATCAATCTCCATAATTCTCCATTCATATTGTTTACCAATAAAATGATTTCGAAGATATTTCATTCTTTTTTTTGAACTCAATAACAATACTTTAATTAAATCTGGATTTGTATTAGCAGCTTGTGTTAATTTCAATTCAAACATAACCTAATACATAAGAATTATGAATACTCTATGATAAATTGATTCAAAATGAGCCTCAGGGGTTGGATATAACATTAATTATGATAGTATATAACATTCAACTCGAAATGTAACACTAAAATATAATATATATATACTTTTCAATTTCAGATCTCTCATTATCATTACCATATATATCTAAATTTACACAGTTGAAAAGAGACATCTTTACGCATTATTATGATTTGTCACCAATTGATAATCTATTTATATTATTAAGTCATACGTTAAATCAGAAAAGACAATATCTTTAGTTCCATTCTTGAGGTTCAATAATTAAAAATTATATTTCTCTAGAGTTCTTTCTAGATTTGCATTAGCTATAGTTGATATGAATTTGTAATCTTTCTCACTGAGTGCTTAAATGAATTATCTAAGAAATTTAAATAAACAAATACTCATAAGCCATATGAAATCCTTCATCAATTCTATTATCCCAAATTTCAGAGAGTAAAGATCGCAATCTATAACTTTTGGATGTATCAATGTCATCGTATTTATACCCTGTAAAAGGTAGAGCAGTATGCAATGCAACTGTCGAGAATTTCCCTGCTAATGATTTTACAAGAGTATTCATGCATATATAATAATAACTATTTTTTTAATTTATTATATTAAGACTTATGATTAATTCCATAATATTTATATCCTTAATCATCTCAAAAAAAATCTCATAGTACTTTAAAATATCTTTTATAATTATATAAATTATATATAAAAATGTTTTGTAATTTGACATACAGATTTCATATATTAAAATTATTATTGATATTTAGAATGAATATCTTAATTATTTAATAAGAAAATATCAAAATATTTATATATTGCCTAACTTTTAATTAAATATTAATAAATGAAAATTAAAATAATTAATCAAAATAAATAAATACAAAATTATATAAAGTCTTTTATTATTAATTATAGTAATCAGTCTGATTTCATTTTAGTATTAAGAGTTCCTATATACATATTTTCTGTTGTTATCTGATTTTTTTTAACTAAACAATCTGCTATTTAAATAATAATATATTTAATTACCTTCTTCTTCATGATCTGAACTAGCTCTTCTTGATGTTTTTCTTTTCTCAATTATTCTTTCACTTTTAGATTTTTATGTTAATTATTAATTATGTATCAATTTCTTCTTCATTATACTCTTTGTATTATTAAACTATTTCTTTTATTTAATTGGCTATTAAGTTATTAATCTCTTTTCTCCCAAATGCTAATATCTTCTTAACAATAAAAATTCATTAATATCAAACCATTTTACAATAGGGGGTCTTGATACAAGTGCCCAATATGTATTACACAGACCTTTTATTATATTACGTAACATTCCAATAACTTAAAATATTATTGTTACTGTAATTACTGTTTAATAACCCATTTTTGAAAACATTAATTAATAGTTATTAAAGAAGAATAGATATATGAAAAATGTAGGTAATTCAATTACAAATAATTAAGTAAGCTAATAAATCTACTTTAAATTAAATAAACTATTCATTATCTTAATACCTGATTATGGACAGAAATTGCTTATTACATTCTCAACTAGAATATTAGTATCATATATATTCTTCATCCATAAATTAGATAAGAGAAATGAAGCATCTCTATTTGGATGTTTAAAGAATTATATTGTACATTTTAAATCTTGATAACAAAAAATAGTGAATTTTATGCATATCATTATAGTCATCATATATGCAGTTGCTAAAAAATTAGTTCGAATTTATTAAAAAGAATTGTCTTCATATTTCTCTATATAACTTGACATATTATAACTTGATGATATTATTAATGTATCAAATATATATTTACATTATAAAACTATTTAAAGCATTAATAGAAGTAATTCTTTTTTTATTGGAAATTTCCTTTTTAATTCTTTTTTTTATTCATAAGTCAAAATATAAAAGTCAGGTTCTGAATTTATCCTTAATTTTATTGCTATTATTAAATTTGTTACACTACACATTACAATTATTAAAATATCAATTATGAACAAAGTCAAAGTTAGAATTTGAACATCATTAATAAAACAATATTGATTTCTACAATTTCTATGATCTTATAAATCCTATAAAGATAAAGGAGTTTATAACATAAATGCTGTTAGAAGTGCTAAAATTAAAAATACTGGTTCTACTAAACAACCTAAAATATAATAAATTTTCATTCTATTCATTTTTCTTCTTAAATGTTTCTATAATTAACTACTCATTCTAAATTCTGTTAAAGATCCTTAAAAAACATATAACAATTTGTTTATAATATGTATTATGAATTTTCCAATAAATCCCCATTTAATTGTTTCTATATTTTGATCATTAATACCATAACTACTTTACATAATTGTATAATTCTGAAATCGAAATTTCTATTTTAGTAGATGATATCTAATTAATCCATCATCAAACATAGTTAAAGTTTATTATTCAACCTCATCAAATTTAACTTATAGTAAATTATAATTAACTTGATTGTTAATCATATTTATATACATATGCATCTTTCCCATACTAGTACAAAATCTTGAATTACCTGAAAAATCTATATATTATAAATAAGGCAATTAAAAATAATTGTAACCAAACCAAATTAGAAAGTCATCAGAGAAATCAGTTT